ACCAAGACTATAAGACCCCCCATTATCTGGCCCCACATATACTTGTCCAACCTCATCTATCACTCTTTCTCTTGCTCACACTGCCTTTTTTGCTCCACCTGTACCAGAGTCTTTGTACATGTACTATCCACCAGATCTTCATATAGATTATTCCTTCACCTCATTCAGGTCTTGGCTTAAATGTCACCTCTTCAGGAAGGCTTCCCTAATTATACTTATAGCTACCAAAATTGGTAAGTCTCTGGTTAACCCCTTGACCTGTCTAATTTTTTTTTTCACAGCACATTTTAAAATACTATTTTTGATTGTTCATTTGTTTATGTTTACTTGTGTGGCAGATATCACTTACCTGTAGCTCTTTCTATCACCCAATATCCCCTTCCTATTAGTTACAGAAAACATTTTAGCTCTTTGCTGCCCAATTAAAAGACAGGCCTCACTTGCCTGTAAGCTTTGTGACTATGCTCTGCCAATAAAATATAAGTGTTGTTGGAAATTTTAAAATTAGTTTTATGTCTACCAATTGTGTTAGAAATATTTTTTCCATAATGTTGTTGTTTAACTACCTTTGGGGAGAAAAGGTATTTATTTATTTCATATATTCAAATTTATCCATCAATTACATTATAGCTTGTGGATTTTATGTACCATTTAGAAGCCGTTTTCTACACCAATATTAGAAATATATTTACCTATATTTACTTCTAAAATTTTATGTTTTCATTTTTTAATGCTCGAATGTTTTATGTAGTCTGTGTTGTTTTTCTTTAAAGACTTCTGACAGCCTGAATACTAGAGAGTACTATAACAATCCTTATACATCATGCATTATTTTATCCATTTAAAAGTAAGAATTCAACATTTGAGCTAAAGACAAAAAATGTCAATACAGGGTGTGCAAAAGTAGGTTTGCAGTTTTAAGTATGCAAAAATAGTTTATTCTTATATTATTTATTAACTAGACGCCCAATGCAAGAAATTCATGCAAGGGGCTTGGCCCATCACAGCCCCAGCTGCCTTGTGGCCCCACCCACTGGTCCTTCCAGAAGGTCATCCGGAAGGTCATTCTGGAAGGTTATCCTGCCATCAGGTCTAATTAGCATATTAGCTCTTTATTATATAGGATTATTGTATTATTTGCCATACGAACTGTAAGCCTACTTTTGCCCACTCCATATATAAACATGTCATAACCTACTCAAAAAGCAATGAAAATATGGAAAAAGTAAGCTAATACAACATTATGTGCTTTAATATCCCTATTTTTAAAAGGTATGTTGATGACATTACAAAATCTCTTGAAACCAATGTTAGCTATAAATATATCTTCTAGCTTGCTTCCAAACAAATTAGCAAAGACTGACATGTATTTTAATCTCAACTAAAGTACTAAGCAAGAAATAAAAATAAAAATGTAAAAAAAAATGTTTTCAACATTTATAAAATAACTGAGTTACTTCAGCTTAAAAAAGTATGACTTACTAATAAAGGACTTTGATCTAGCAGTGAAAGTGACATAAGGAATCTATAAATATCTGTTGAGGAAATGGTTACACTTTAATTTATACTTTTTTCTTTTTGTTGTTATGGTTAGTGGTTATTTTACATCATTTCTTCATTCCCCAACAAAGAGAAAATAGTAATAAATTCTCCTTAAGCTGTTAATATTATAGAGTCCAGAGAAAAAAGCCTCCTTCTGAGGAAAAGAATCCTGTAAAAACACTCTATTGTTTACAGTTTATACCCAGAAATCATTGGGGGAAATACTTGCTAATTTCCAAATTTCTTTATTTTAAAATTTCATTATTAATTTCTTTTATTTATGGTCAGTAACAGTATGCAAGTTTTCTTTTTTACCTAAATATACTCAAATGCATAAGTGATACCTAGTTTGAAAGAAAAAGTTCTTTTATGAGCAATAAAAAGCTATGAATGGATGTGGGACTAGTCTATGTATTAGTTTTTATGAGTGCCTCAGTTATTTAAATAGTATATCATCTTCAATGTGGATTATACTTCTAGTTGCTAAAAAGACTTCCTTTCATATACAAAAAGAAATAAAGGCTCCAGAAAACACAAAACTAGTTTTCAAACTGTTCCAGACATTATTAAAACAAGAAAACTAACCACTGCCAATAGCACTGTCTTTATGTTTTCCTATATTTCACTACTTTAGAACACTTAAATATTTTCTTTAAAAAAAACACAAACCTTTAAAAATTACTCATAAAATTATTATTACTTACAGAACTTCTACACAGAATCAAATAATTAAATTTTAAAATCCTTCTCACAGTTTATTAAACTCAGCCAATGAATGAGTTGACCAAATGCTAGGAGACTTGAGCCTAACTTATCTTAGCAGTGGATTAGCTTTGACTTTCACTTATCTGCTAGCATGGAAATATATATCCACTTTACAGATACAGACACCCAAAATTGTCTTTTTCACTGGGTTCCTAATCTACCAGCCCCCAGTTCAGTGTCTAACAACATAATAGGCCACCAATTGACCTTTACTGGAGGAACAAATTCAATAAACATATGAAATATATTTCCCATATTTAAACAAAAAAATGGGAGGAGTTTAATTACATAGTATAGTACAAAGTAGCCACTCAATAAATTATGAAAATTAACTACATGAAAATATTCACCTCCCAGAATAAAGATACTATCAATGATAAGGATTCTAATTATTTAATAAGTATGTTCTCAATTTTTTTTTCTTTTTGAGTGACTGGACAGCACAGCTAAATGTATAACAAAAAAATAATAACTGGCTGAGTTCTCTGGTCATATACTCTTAATTCCAATATTTGATGCTTCTTGAAAGTTAGTTTCATCATTAAAGTTGAAATAGTGAATATATATTTCATTTAAACACCCTAATTAATTTTCACCCGAAATCGGTTTACAGCTTTTTGACTGCTACTAAAAAAGGAACTAAGCTTTGATATATACATACACATATACATACATACATGTTACACATACTTTTTCTCATCTGATATTCCAAAAGGAGTAATAAATGTCTACATACAGGTACCCACATCATCCTTTGTCACAAATAGCACATATTCTTGAATAATCAAAATATGGTGAAGTTGGGTTATAAACAATGGACAAAGCATCAATGTCATGGACTTAAAATTAGCCTTTGGAGCATCATTGAACATTCCTTTGGAAAAAGCTACATTTGGAAGCTCATGTCCTATCCTTAATAAACCCAAGACAGACAGCTTTTCTCCCATCTTGTAATTAATCATGTTTTCTTAAACTAAGCATTATGTGTATGTGGCTTGCTAATCTGAGACCATATGAAAAAAGTTTAATTAAATATACAATCACATAGAGTAGGATAAGATGTTCATATTCAAAGAGACACTTGGAACTGAGATTGTTTTCTATTACATGCTTATTCTGAGTCATTCCCATAGAGGGGAGACATGGAATCACTCAAACTTCTTATTTCTCCAGGTACATATAATTAAATTCCTGTAAGTTAAATGTGGGGGGGGGGGCACAACTAACCTAAATGAAGCTATGTACTACTTATGACAAGAGACTAATTATCAGATTTCATTTTCTCAAACTGTACATTTGACCCATTACTAGGTTGTGAAATGAATTTAAATGTGAGATCTGAGCTGCATTTTCTTAAATAACAGAATTTAAAAGAAAATATCAGTTAATAACATAGTAAATGTTCTTTCTGAAATTATGTGTGTCTGTATGATGTGTATACATACTAGGTTGAGATGTAAAATGAATGTCCTATTTTGGAAATTGTAATTTTGTAAAGATTTGAAAAAATATAGGGTTAATACTATATATCCTTGGGTAATGTGATTTCTAGCTGAATAAGTGGAAGAACAAGCAAAAAAATATGTAAAAGTGAATGTTTAATTCCTTAAATGCTTGTTTACAAAACAAGTGGGAGTTCGACTTCCCCTGTTTATCCAAGAGCAGGAGTATGGTTTGACTGAAGTTTTATGATATTTGGGAAACTAGCAATCTTGTCTCACATTACTGGAATGCCTATGATCATCTAATTGTCAATATTACAAAAATCTCAGGTACCACTGCTCTAAGCTAATTATGACCATCTCTATTCTTACATCTGCCTAGAATACTTCATTCATCTTCCTAGTCCCTTCTATGTCCAAGATCACAAAGGCCAACACCCTGTTTGAAGCCAATTTTTTAAAGACTGTAACAGTGTATGTATCTAGGGCAGTGGTTCTCAACCTTGGCTGCACATTGGAATCACCTGGGAATCTTTTTAAACTCCTGATTTTCAGAATGAGGCCCAGAAATCAGGATTTTAAAAAGATTGCCAGGTGATTCTAATGTGCAGCCAAGGTTGAGAACCACTGATTTAGGGGAAGAGGTCAGTCACTGGGCTGTTTCCAACAGATTTTCTAAATCAAATCAATCATAAAAAGTAACTATCTTAGCTCCTTAGCCACTAGCAGTGGTTCTCAACCTTCTGGCCCTTTAAATACAGTTCCTCATGTTGTGATCCAACCATAAAATTATTTGCATTGCTACTTCATAACTGTAATGTTGCTACTGTTATGAATCGTAATGTAAATATCTGATATGCAGGATGGTCTTAGGCGATCCCTGTGAAAGGGTCGCGACCCACAGGTTGAGAACCGCTGATTAGCTGGTTCCACTCCTAAAGACACCTTGGTGTTTTGCAGCTCCCGATTGGTTGTCTCAAAGACAGTGATCTAAAGACCTATGGAGTGAACCCCAACATTGAATGACCCGATCCTATCTAAAGGCCCTGCTAACAGCCAGCGAGTGTGGTGAGGATGCAGCATGGAAGGGCCATCAACTCTCTGCACATGATCCAGCCACCTCTGGTGCACACACATTCTGCACATCACGGGAATGCCATGTGCACGCCGCTGACCTAGGAAATGACATTAGACTCTGTAATTGGAGTGAAAGTTCCCGCTCGAGGACCGGTGGCCTCCTGTGGCGGGTTTCTAAGGATCATCACCCACTGTGTGTGCAAGTTCCCGGCCCAAGGCGCCGTCAAAGTTATGGGTCTGTGTTTCCAACTTAAGTTGACTGACAAGGGATGGGTGTGGGTCTGAACATTAAAAACAGGCTCCTCCCTCGGTGCATTTGACTTGAACGAGTGTTTAAACTTTCCTGTTCAGCATTTCAGCGCGTGCCCTGCACACCGCGCCCGCGGCACCCAGAGCCTCTGCAGCTCGGCGGAGACTGGGCTTGGGGAGGAGGTGCGGGGAGGGCGTGACTGCCGGTCCAGGCGGCACCCAAGCAAAGAAAACCAAACGTTTCAGCTGCTCACTCCATTTGCTCCGGGACACGACCTGGGACGCGTCTGCCTATATCGCCGCCATCTTCTTTCCACAATCAAACTGACTGTTTGTGTGATATCTGGGTTTGTCACTTGGAGACGTTTCCACAAAGACCATACAAATTCTTTATCAGCCTGACACAGGGCCAGCTCCTCCTTGAGGCTGCTCAGCTCTTCCTCCAGCAGCTGCATCCGGGCCACCATGACCTCCTCTACCGAGATGCCCTCTAGCCGCTCGGACCCCGGGGGCGCCCTGAGCAGGGGAGCCTGAGCCGGAGCTGACCCCCCCGGCCCTCGCTGGCCTCCCGACCCCTCTCCACTCGGCCAGGGTATGTCGCCTCGGTCCACGACGCCTTCACCGCCGAGGCCGGAGGCCTCGCTGCTCACTGCGTGGACCGCAGCTCCCCGCCCAACACGTGAGGACCGGGTCCCCGAAAAAACTATAACCCAGCTTTTTAGATGCTCTGACAGATTAGTACAGAGCATGGGTGCCAATAGTTGTGAAAATATGCATCTACGAGGAAAAAAGACAAGGCAGTGTTGAAGGACACGGCCAACAAAGTGTTGAAAGGCTGCCAGGTTATTTCTTGTTTAAGCCTAACAGGATAGCAATCTGTGGCACAATTTTAGGGGGTTATTTGCCTTAATGTTTTCTTTTTTTTTTAAATATATTTTATTGATTTGCCTCGGCTTGCCACTCATCCAACCCCCCTACGCCGCACGCCATTCTAGCCGGCATCTCCCCTCGTAGAGCCTTCCCTGCGAGCCCCTCGTGACCCTCCCTGTGATTCCTGGCCCCCAAGGCCCCGGCCAACTCGTTTGTCACGTCTCACTGAGCGCCCTGGAGTGTGGGTTACACGGCGAATCTCTCCTGCCCTTTGCAGGCGCCTGGAGGATGGGGAGTGAGTTTCAGGCTGGCGTTTCCCTTTGCAAAACCGCTTCACGTAGATCGGACATCCAGCTGACGGGTGCCCCGGAGAGGTGCAAAGCCTTGTGCTGAGCTGGGGCCCTCAGGCAGGTTCCCCATTTGCATGACGATCTTCTCGTCCCCCTTTGTCTTTTGTTCTGCGAGAGAGTCGTGATTTCCTTTGCATTTTTGTCAGCCGCTTCAGGTGCTGGCTGAACGTCAGAGCGAGTGTGACCCACTGTCGCTGCCTGACAGTGTGGGTCCTTGAACAACTGGAAGTCAATAATTCGGAGTGCGGTTAAGGAAACAAGACCAGCAGCCCCACATTGTTCAAGGGTCAGCCCCGCATTGTTTCCATGTTTCAACTGTACATGGAAAATTCCAGAAATTACCAAAAAAAAAAGGTCATACAAGAAAAAGAAACAAGACCAGCTTTCTGTATCCTTTTTAAAAGAATTGCTTTTCCTCCTCCCTGCTATTTCTTGCTTTATAAACTTCGAATAGGCAACATTCTCTTTCTTTGTCATCATAACACGTTCTACCAGGGATCCGTTTAGTGAGGAGATGTACATTGCACCAGCCATAGAGTTCCACCTAAAGCTGGATCTGCTCTCTTCGGAAGAAAGGGCGCCAGAGTATTGCAGAGCTGGGTAAGGAGGAGAGGACTGGGAGCAGGGCTGCCTGCTGTAACTGATGACCTCTGCGTGTGATCAAAACTATGGCTCTGGGCCAGAATCTAGTCCACACTCAAGAGACAGCCCCCTCCCCAAATCAGAAGCTGGCGAAGGCGAGATGAGTGAGCTGCCTTCCCTCTCATTTAGAAAAGGATGACTTTAGAAACAGCACATATAAGCCTGTGTTTCAAGTCACTGCCACGTTGACCGTTCACTATAGGCTGAGTCCATGGCTGAGCACTTTTCATATAAGTACTTATTCCCTTCTTACAGCATCACAGTAAAATAGAGACTCCCATGTTACCAGTGAGCCTCACGAGATTGTGGTTCCTTGCCTGAAGTCCCACATCTGGCATTAGAAGAGCAAGGATAGGAATCCACTTAACTCTAAAACCTGTGCCTTTGATCGCTACCCTTACTCCGGGTACTAGTCACTTGAAATACAGCATTAGGCCTGATAGCATGTAAGATTTCACTGGGCTTCAGATTCACATGTTTGGCACAAAATCAATATGAATGCATTTTTAATAGCTACTTGGTATTCACTCAAAAGTGCATCATTTCGCCTGATTGTAGAAAGATTCTTTTGGAAAGCAGTGAAAATTCTTAAGTACAATGGATACATATACATATTTGACTCAAGAATAAAATCCTGAATCTATACCTAGGTAGACAATTTTTTTAACTTTCTTTTTATTATGGTAAAATACCCATATCATAAAATTTACCATTTATTTTAAAGCCCGTGAAAATAAAGAAAAAATTCAGTATCATTAAGTACATTCACAATGTTAGGCAACCATTACCATTAGTTCCAGAACATTTTCACCACCCCAGAGCCAAACCCTGTACCCATTAAACAGTCACTCCCCATTTAACCCTCCCACCACCACCACCACCACCACCACTCTCCCAAGCTCAAGATAACCACCAACCTGCTTTCTGTCTTTATGGATTAGACTGTTCCATTTAATGTAAATGAAACCATACAGTACATAGCATAATGTTTCCAAGCTTCTTTCACTAAGCGTAATGTTTTCAGACTTCATCCAATTTGAGGATGTATTAATACTTCATCCCTTTTTATTGCTGAATAATATTCCACTGTATGGATATGTTACAATTTGTGTTTCCATTCATCCATTGATGGGCATTTGGGTTGATTCCACCTTCTGCCTATTGTGAATAGAGCTGCTATGAGCATTCACATAGAGGTTTTTCTTTGAACAGCTATTTTCAATTATTTTGTGTATATATCTAGGCGTGTAACTGCTGGGTCACGTGGTAATTTTATGTTTAACTTACTGAGGAATCTCCAAACTGTTTTCCCACAGTCCACAGTGGTTTCACAACTTTACATTCCTACCAACCATGTTATAAAATTCCAATTTCTCTGCATTCTCACCAATACTTGTTTTCCTTTTGTAAAAAATATTTTCTCTTTATGGCCATACTTGTGGGAGGGAAGTGATACCTCATTGTAGTTTTGGTTTGCATTTCTCTAATGACTAATGACATTAATCATCTTTTCATGAACTTGTTGCACATTTGTTTATCTTCTTTGGAGAAATGTCTATGTTCTTTGTCCATATTTTATTTGCGTTGTTGTCTTTTTGTTGTTGAGTTGTAAGTGTTCTTTACTGGCAGATAATTTTTAAGAATAGAAACTTGTACTTTTTCAGAAGTGTACATAGGAAGTTCTTTCATGTATTAGTTATTTTCTGAAGTGACAGAAATGTGAAATAATGAATATTAACATATGTAACTCAAGAAGATAAGTTAAAAATCTATACTACTTGAATAAAAATGTGCCAAACAATCAACAGTGTTTCTCCTGTGCAATTCTTTGTTCAAACATTTAAGAGTGATGATGTCTGTTCTGCAGGTATATGTAATAAAATCTGCTGAGGATGAAGTAAATTAGAATATAGAAACACATAATTATATTCATATAATCATTGTATAGGTAAAATACTGGGAGTAATGTACAAATTAATAAGGTATTAAAATCACACCTATCACCTTAATTTTAAAAATGTATTTCTAATTTCTGTTTAAAAGAGAAAAAATGTGTTAAGAATTTCTTAGCCCTTATGCTTCTTTGTTTCCAGAAATAATGCCAAGTTTTAAGACATGTCTATGTCTTTACCAATTTGGTATAAGTTTTATTTGGTCAGCAGAATATACCTATTACATTTGAAACCACTGTTAGGTATCGGTAAAACCATAAATATCATAGATTTCTTTTATATCATTTGAAATTTATCTTATGTTTAACATTTTTCCATATACTAAGAATTTAAATAAAAAAATATTCTGCTGCCTACACCTTAAACAGCGAAAAGAATCCCACAAACTAGAATATGACAAGGTGACACTTGAATCGGCAGCAGACATATCATGTCAGCCTAGTGTGGACAAATTGCGCTATAGGAATTAGTCTGCTGGCTATCCAATCTGACTGGGAGTTTCCCTTATGTAATCTTGAACTACCCCATCTGCTGAAGGCAGGGAAAGACCCAAGAAAAAAGACAGACTACTCCTTATTGGTAGGTGGCAGGTTTCATAAATAAGGGAATTTACTGAAGGGGCTTGTCTTGGTCAGCAGAAGGATCAGTAATTTTCTCACCCAAAAGACAAATCTTCAAAGTTTGTATAGAAACCTTAACAGAGTTCAATCAGGTACCCAGTCCAGATGATCTCAAGACCACAATCTCTCTGAAGGCTGTGTTCTTGGGCAGCTTCTAGCTCAGGAAAGGAAAGCTGAGGGCATATTCCAAGCACAGGGGAGGACACCTTAAACAGCGAAAAGAATCCCACAAACTAGAATATGACAAGGTGACACTTGAATCGGCAGCAGACATATCATGTCAGCCTAGTGTGGACAAATTGCGCTATAGGAATTAGTCTGCTGGCTATCCAATCTGACTGGGAGTTTCCCTTATGTAATCTTGAACTACCCCATCTGCTGAAGGCAGGGAAAGACCCAAGAAAAAAGACAGACTACTCCTTATTGGTAGGTGGCAGGTTTCATAAATAAGGGAATTTACTGAAGGGGCTTGTCTTGGTCAGCAGAAGGATCAGTAATTTTCTCACCCAAAAGACAAATCTTCAAAGTTTGTATAGAAACCTTAACACCAAGACCACAATACTCTCTGAAGGCTGTGTTCTTGGGCAGCTTCTAGCTCAGGAAAGGAAAGCTGAGGGCATATTCCAAGCACAGGGGAGGAGTGTGGAGCCTCCAATAGCTGGAGTCCAGCTCATGAGTAAACCAAGTGATCATGTCTTATTAATGACCTTCCCAACATAGTCAAAGTAAACCAAGAAAATTGTTTTGTGCTAACAATTACCGCAATTTTGTTTGAGTAATTCTTGGCAACTATTGATCCCCTGCTCAGTCCTGGGAGTGCTTTAGGTCAAGATCATAGGCATCCAAGGATGACATCATCCACTTCAGCTGTCCCATGTGGTTTTCACATAGTTAAAAACTGATGATCTTACAAGTGCTATGACAACAGAATTTCATTTTCTATTTTCATCTTCAACAGTTATATTAAAGTCCAAAATTTTAAATAACTGATTTTTTTTCTAACTATTAGGCTTTTCTAAAATTATCTCCATTGATGCAAACTCCCAGTGTTGGTCTCATTCTGAAAAAATAAATAAATAACCTGTGTACTTTAAGTTTGAGTAACTTTTTTCAGCTTATTTGGTTCAGCAAAGTTTTGTCAGCTGATGTTCATTGGTGCCAATTCAACACAAACACTACACTACAATTTGGTGTGTAGTGAAGAAGGAAACTTTATTCAGTGCAAAAGAGCTCAATTATGATACAACATGGCTGTAAAAACAGCACAGCTATGAGGAAACCCTGGGGCCAGGCCCCTTTCTGCTCTCACTAGACAGCTCTGCACTGTCATGTAATCTTCCTCAGCCAGGGAGAGGCAGTCTTCAATAGAAAGGCAAAGTATGCTCCCTGAGCCAGAGGGAAGCTAGCTTACTTATATGGACAGGAGTCCCCGCCCCTTGTCCCTGATTGGTCTGTCCTCATGCAAATTAGGACTCCAAATCTTTGTAGTTTGATTGGTTCAAAAGGCACTGTCCTGATTAATCAAAATAGAGCCACTCTGATTGGCTAGAGCTGTGCAGCTCCGTTAGGATGGGGAAACCTCAGTCCTATTGCTTGAAATAGGATTCCAGGAACTCCTTTATTAGGACAGGCTCAGTTGGCTGAAACACATTGCAGGCAGGTAGTTCAGTGCAGAGGCAGGCAATTCAGCACAAGCTTCTCCTGAAGTATTTTGTTCATCCTTCTTTGTCTGTATTTTAGTTTTCTCTTTCTAAGAGAGAGAATGGTAGACCCATGGTCTTCGGTATTTCATCTAAATATTTTTTACCCTAAGACAGCGGTTCTCAACCTGTGGGTCGCGACCTTTGGGGGTCAAACGACCC